TCAGAAAACATTAATTTCAGGGAGATTCGTAGTATATCTGAAATAATTTTCACAGGTTAAACGATGATACCAAGTCTTGAAAATAAAATATCACTAATATTTACCTTTCTAATCAATTTAATTAGTTATTGATAATAGACTTAATGCTTTGTCGTTAATTTGATAATTTCAATCGTGATGATTGTGAATAATTAAAATGTTTAGTTGAGACAGTCTCAATAAAGAGGGAATTACTACTAATAACTAAAATAAATATCAACTTTGCTATGATAAGAATATATTAATGTTATTGTAATTACTTGTTAACAAGTAAAATTTAATCGTATGCAAGGCTTTGTTGAAATTATATTATCTTATAAATAAGCTTTTTGAGAAATATGTAAACTGTAGATTATACTTTTAAAATATGTACATAAAAATATCAAAGAGCATTTTGTGTTGAAGACTATGTTGAAGTCTTTAAAAACAATATTTTTATTTTAGTCTTTAACGAGCTGGTCGTTTACCAGCTGTTTTATTGAAAGACATGAAAAGAATTATTCAAATATCCAAAGTTGTAACGAGTGAAGTTTTTCATAATAGATATTTTGGTGGCTTACCGCATCGTGTGAAGTTGCGGTTAAGTGGCAATATTACGAGTATAAATCATTGCTTATTATTTTTTTATAAATATCTAACAAAATATAAATATGTTACAATAAAGGACTTACAAATTAAAAATACGAAAATAAAATCTTATGTCAGGATTGTAATTTAAAAAAATTCGTTATGTTGTTAGAGCCTTTATATCCTTTGAGTTTCATTTTTAAAATTTCAGTATTTTATGTTGGTAAATTTATTGCTACATTCAATGGTACAGTTGTGGTAATAGTGTTTTGCGGTTATCGTAGAATGTTAAAAACGGGTGTAAAAATCATTATTTTGCTTTAGTTAGCCAGACCATAATGTTTATAGTTAGAAAAGCAATCATATTATATATTTTTTTATTTCCACCTTAAATTGGGTTTTTGAAAAAAAAAAAAGTATTGATTTTTTTTATGTATTTTAAAACTTTATTATTAATTATATTGGATTTTTAATGCAAAAAACTTGAAATATATTTTTTAAATTAATTATAAACAATTAAAAATTGATAAAATTCAAAAATATATCACGTGACTGTAAACGCGCCATGATTGGTCAGCATACTTGTGACGTCATAATGTTAAAGCAATTTCATAATAGTACAGTGTTTATGGCTATTATCTTTAACTTGATAAAAATATCTCAAATTTATTAGTGAAAAACGATTTGAAAAGTTTATTTCGACTATGTGTGATAAAGGATTTATAAAAGCAAAATCGGATAATATTCCTGATGTTAATATATTTTTATGATAACTAATTTTTTAAAAAGTGCGGTTTAATTTTGCTGAAGTTCGAGGTGCTAAGACATCAAGGTAAGTCTGTCAAAAAATACTATTCTAAATGAAAATTAGTATTTATTCTCTATTAAATGTAATTAATAATTATTTCATTAAATCATTATTAATAAAATGTTATTATAACATTATAAAAAAACCAAAATAACATATATGTACTTTAAAAATTTAAATGTAGTCTGATACAGAACCTAGAATGTTATAAAATTATGAAAATATCTATTAATTGAAGTCCAATTATTAGACAAACATATATATAGATTTACTATTTAATCGCTTTGAATTATCAATTAAAATTTTTTAATGCTACGATTCTAAAGGTTATGATTTGGAGCCCAGGTAAAAAAATTAATTATTGAACTATACTTATTCGATTTATACACTTAGATAAATAATAATTAATAACAATACTATTATGAAAACTTACAACGAAATGATCTTCACAACAAAAAAAAATGATTTTGTTTTTGAATAATCTCGATGCACTGCTTGAAACCATTTCTTTCGACGTTTTTCGTCTTGTGGAACATTTAAAAACATTTTTTCAGGAGTTGTTTTTGTAGTCTTTGTACATAATGGTACAAAACTTTTGATTATTTAACAATGCCAACAGAATTTACTAGATAAAAACTCAAAACACTGTACTAATTATTATATCTCTGTATGCTACAATGAGCAAAAACTAACATTGTGACGTCACACGCGCTCGGGTTTATTCACGAGCTGTCGGCTTGTCTTCGGTACTGAATTTAAAATTTAATTTTTATTTTGAAATAACTTTTTAAATATTGCAAAAAAAAATAAAATAAAAATAGTTTTGTTATTAAACTTATATATGATCTTTCCATTTATCACAAAAAAAAAAATAATTCAAAAACCCAATTGCAGCTAAAACATAGTCTTGTTAAAAATTATATATTGTTTTTAAAATGTTTTTAATTTATTAAGATAATTTGTTATTTTTATTGACAAATGAGATAAGGTGAAGTTACTAGTTGACAGTCATTTTAACAGATTGATATTTATAATGCCTATGAGTTTTTTTTATATGGCCAAATTCATTATTACATACTTGTATTTATTATATTTATAATGATTATTACTTTAGTGTAGTAAAGTGTATTAAAAGAAAACTGTGTCAACAAGAGCTCCTTTGTTAGATCGGGATTTAGACACTTGAGTAATAAAATATGAGTACCTACCTACAATACAAAGTATAATTTAATCAGAGATATAAGTTTGCCTCTGTAATCAGCTTAGAAGTTACAAACAATGAACAAAAAACCGTAGTACCATAGTTTTTTCATACTCATAGAGATATATTTTATAAATAACAAAAAAAATGAAAAACAGTTCATACGTCGTTAAAAATCTCGTTTGATTCAAATTTTTTATATGAATCAGCTATTTTCACTTGTTGAATTGTTTCGTTTTTACCAATTATATTTTGTTTAATTCTAGATAACATTTTAATGTTTATATATTGTTATGTCACAGCTTATTTACTCTTGCCTCGAAAATCTCCAAATTGAAAGTCAATAGAAATAGGACTTGGGATAAGAAAGGACCTAAACAATATATTCAAATCTATTCTGTGGGTATTAAGCAAGAGAAAGTTATCGTTTGGTCTCAATGCAAATTATGGTTTGGTTGTTCACTAGTATATGGAGATGGAAAAATTATACCTAGCAAATCCGGTGCACACTCTGAATACTACATTTCGAGAAGAGAACTCTTTTAGGCTTTGCTCAAGAGTAAGAGTTTTCAAGGAAATAGTGGGCAACCTTAACCCTTTTTTTATACCTTTCTCAAGGGATTCTAGAGTCTCGTAATGTCATTTAGCAGGTCCTGTCAAAACTTACCAGTGTTCCATACACCACAAGACCCATGCTTAGATTTAGACATTTAAAAATTAACATTCTCACATTTAGATAAACGAGTCTTTTTAAATAAAATATAATTAAAGAAACAAAAATTACCGAAAATATTACGAGATTTAATAAATAACTATAAAATAATTGATTATCGGACCTTGATATTAGAATTTTGTCAATTATGATAATTCTGTAACTCCTTAAATTATGGTTTGGCAAGTAGGGTTGACAAACTTAGTATATATATTGTCTTGGATCATTGTACTTGCTTTATGAAGTAATTTCCACGTTACTGCCGTAATAAATTGTTCCTACAATTTAAGAAATCCTTACTTTATACTGTGATAACAGTTTAGAAAAGAATATTAAGGTATTTGAATTGAAATTTTATATGATATGTATACGACACTAAATTTCCTTTTCAAATTATTAAAAATAATATAAGAGAGACATTATACATAGAAATAAAAATAAGTAATGAAACCCTTATCACAACATTTCAAATCACAGCAACTAAGCAATGAACAACTGCATTTGTCAGGCAATTTTCTAATTATAAGAACAATGGAAAAGCCTAGTAGCTACATCTATTGTGACAGCACTTAACACCCGCAATCACCAACCATCCTATAAATAAAAATGGAAAAATCTATATTGGGTACTTTGTACTCACTTATTCAACGAATTAAAATTAATATTGAATGAGACTGTTTCGGGGCAAACTAATTGATCGCTGGTTATTGGAATATAATTTTTAAATAAATGTATTTTGAAACTTTTCTATAGAGTTAAACATGAAGTAACAAAAACTGTTAGAATACAAAGAAGGTTAATATTTATTTAGTTTTGGCAGAATATAAATCAATTAAAGGACTCCAATTTACCACTCTCATTTATTTAATAGTACCTCTATTATTTATATTCGGAGTCGTGAAACAGAATACGCAGGCTGTAAATTCTTTTTCCCGGTTTATGAGAAAGACTTTTTTAAACTATATAATTCCATTAATTTAAGTTACGTATGCAATTATAGGAAATGCATACGAAGCCTGTTAAGTCCAATTTAATTGAAATTTAATCAATGATATGATATAAGTAATAGTACTTATACACATATATTATGCTTTATAAAATTAAAGCATTGAAGAATTTGTTTTCGTATATCAATTGTAGATGAATTAAAAATTAACCTTTCTTCATAGACACATATCCAATTAAAATAGTTTTGTTCGAATAGATTCGATTTGATTTTGCTGAAAACATATGTTATTTATTCACTTAAGAATATCAACCTTTTTCAAATATGAGATTTTTAAAATTATAGCACTGTTTGAAATGTAGGACTTCTTTTTTGCGCTTATTTCAGCACAATTTGAGGTTTCCAGGTCAATAGAAAGCCGTCATAGGAATTTTTAAGAGGGCAAAGTCACCAAATAACAAAATGATAAATTATACACATTACATAAAGTTTTCTTAGTGTTTAGATTCTTAAGTTATTTCGTCCTTTTTTGTTCATAATAAGTATTAAAAAGAGGCACTATATCGTTTTTTTCTTGTTACACAAAGATCTGGCGTTATTTTAGTAAAGTACTACCACTTATTCTTTGTATCCACACTTCAAGAAGGAAAATTTGTTATATGTAATAATAAAGTTATGTCTTCAAGCCCACATTTAATCTAATATATTTATTTTTTTAGTTGCCAGTATGGAAGACGTATGGGTGGAGTTACGAGCTCCAAGGTTTGTCGTACATGGTCACAGTGCTGTGTTCAGATGCGAGCATAACGTCGACCCTGAAACACTTTACAAGGTAATATTTATTTTGTTTAAACAAACTTATAATACATAAATTATATGTATAAAATAATGATATTTATATTCATGGACTAAATATTTGTATATTGTTGTAGTCTACAACAATATGTTGTTGTGGGGAGATGTTATACATCCAAAATCACTGCCAGAGTTTCTTTTATTTGCCTTATTGGAATTTGTTTTTGAGAGTAACTATTGTAGACTGGGTTAATGAGACTAAACAAATAAACAAAACGGAAGAATCTAATAAGTACTTTAAAATTTTATGTGAGCTACATACATTTATTTCAATACTCTCACTATATCAGGCTGTTTTTTTATCTAGCTACGAATGTAAGGCTAGAAAAGTTGAAGTTTTTTATAAAATTTATGAGATTCGACTACGAAGAGCGTTTTTCTTTTCAGTTTTCTATGAAAATTACTGTCATTAAATTCATGATTGCTATAAGATTACCCATTTGGTATATAACCAGTGCTGTAGATTGATCATTTCCATCTTCTTCGTTGAATAGCCTTCATCTTCTAAAGGAAAACCTCAAACCGATCTGATTTCATTAGGACCAGAACCATTCAATACCAACCACTTTTTTGTATTTAGATTTCTGGCAAAGTAATTCAATCCATTGAAAAATTCTCAATAAATTTCTGTTGCTAATGAAATTGTATCCATATTGGTATCCTAGATTATCAGTGCTATCTTGTTTCTCGGTTTTTGCTAACCGGGTTTTTCTCAAATAGAAATACAAGTTCAAGGAAATATTGTTTGAGTTTCACAATATTTTTCATATTTATGGTCCGCATAGACACACTACAGCTTTGAACTACTTATGGAACATATTTTCAGATGTATTTGTTGAGGTAATACATATCTCATCATTCACTTTTGTAACTTCAAACCTCATTGTTGGAATCGAACTTTTATTTTATTAGCTCATTTAAGACTATAAGTCATGAAAAACGATTTGTTCAAGCCTTGAAAATTTAGCTTTCACTATTCTTACAGCAAAAGTGGTAACTGTGGTAGAATAAACAGTGATTAAAGGAACTACATAATAATATAAAAGAACTGATGATTTAATAAAGATTTGCAAATAGAACTACACTTATAACGTCATCAGGTTGAACATAATAAAAAACTTCACTCAATCATATTTACTATAATGCCCAAGAAGTACTTGGCAGCCCGCAGTAATAATTGCTTATTAAAAAAAACTATGTACATTTTATTTTAACTTGTCACTAAATATGAACACACAAAATTTTAATTCCTAGAAACCTTAGAGTAACAAAAATAATGACGTAAAATTTTCTATAAATGCCTAACGATTGCAAGATTTAAAAAACAACGTCATAATGAGTCATTCATTTTAATCTTCAAAAGGCTTATGCTGTTATTACAATTTTAACAACACTAATTCATGGTAAATCGTATTAAAGCAAAACAACCGAGAATAAATGCTATCGGCATAGCCACTGAAGCAAGATAAGCGGAACGCGAAGTATATAAGCTGTCAAACACAGTTAGTAGCTTCGTAGCATTATTGGAATCTCAGGCCTTGGCTCATAGATCTCACGAATGTTTCAAGTATAGTGACCTCCAACTTGCGTTATCTTATTTTTCACTCATATTTCAAAGACATATTAGACGCTTTTTCTCTGCCTCCTAACATTGACCTCTACAGAAATGAACCTCTTGAAATCTTATTTTTTTTTTCTAAATCTTTTGTTGATTTGCTATTTTGACTATGTAGGCAACGAATAATAAATAAATTTGTTGTTCATATGAAACGTAATGATGTGGATGATAAAACAAACGTGAACGGAAATTTCATGTCAGTTAATTAAAAAGTCTACGGTAAACACAGCGCGTGTTACAATATTAACAAAATGTTCAATCAATCATTTTAATGCATTTTCCAAAAATACGTTCATATATAAAACTAAAGATAATGTTTGTATATTTTTTATTTGTGGTGTGAATGAAAAAAATTGTGATACAAAATACTGTATTATAATCACATTTGATGCAATTTGGCAATTATAATAAAACTAGTAAAACCGGCGAACTCCGTTTCGCCACCAGAAGGCTTTTATATAACATTTTCGGCGATTAAAAGATGAAGAATTTTTTTTTTGTTTTATATTTGAAAAGAAAAATTTTTATTTCATTTCACAACAGTAATGAATTCATTTCGATTACATAAATGAAGTGCTATTTAGTTTAACTTCTCTAAGTAAATGAAAGTCAATCCAAAGTAGATACCGAATCGAAGCGTTATACGTGTCCGCAAATTATTATCCGTTTCATTGAAGTGGTCCTTTGTAAACCACATTTTTTTGTTTTTGGTCAAACTTTAACACAGATAAAGCGGATGGTTTCCAAACTCGTGAACACGCAAAATATAACGCCCATGTGAAAAACAATGATTTTCTAAATTTATCCCGCAAAAACTAAATGGTTTTAAGAGTTCAAACTACAAACTCAATACCGGTTTGTCACATGATATTAACTGAGCAGAGAACAATGAGTAGATGTCAAACAATGTGTCATGCACCGGCGCCAACTACTTAAAATATTGATTTGTAGAACATGTTATGTGTGATGGCGCTGTATGTGAAAAAAGAATTTCCCGCTTTTTTGTTGAAATTGGTTCGTTCGTTCTGAAGTTATAGCGTCAGGATGGAAAACCGGACTTATTTTTATATAGTAGATCTCTTACAAATATCTAATTGTCATCATTACGACATTACATATCTGTCATTATACGTCAATTGCATAGCTGTCAATTGTGTTTCGTTATTCCACGTTTTTTAGTGGCTGACGTTTCATGTCAAGTCCCACGGGAATGCTGTCGAGCGGGATCAAAATAAAAGTAAAAGTATCCTATTGCAATTTCCTGGCTCTAAACTAACTCCCTGCCAATTTTCAGCTAAATCGGTTCAGCCGTTCTTGAGTTATAAGTGGAGTAACTAACACGGCTTTCTTTTATATGTATATATATATTTATTGATCAATATTCAATTGTTTCATTACATGACTGATATAATCTCTCCATTAATACACTACTTATATGTTTTTTCTCTTCTTATATATTTATACGTTTTCATTCTTCACTTGTTTAACTTCCAACTTGTGATTTATGTCCAGGTGGTGTTTTTTAAGAGCGGTCAGAGAATAATGCAGTACGTACAAGGTCGAGATCCACAGTTTGAGCGATATAACTTCACAGGAGCAGATATAAATGTAAGTAACCGAAGTAACTTTTAAAGATACAATAGGTATTATTATTTAATAGCTTATGCGAATTTACTGGAGATCTGGATAACGGGAATAATTTACACTTCCATAAAAACATCGTTCTTCTTATTGAGGTCAATAAGTATTCAAATAAATATAAAATTCATTCTGATTCACAACAGTGAAAACACTAATTAGTATCAAATTGGAATTTTATAAAATGTCTGTTTCTCTTTGTCTTTCTATATTCCGAGGACTTAAATAAATAGTTACAGGGTAATTTATGTTTTAATTGTTTATCCTTTACAAAAACAATGTAATGTCATTTCTAACTTAATAGTTATATTTACTAAGTTTAGTTACAAAACAATAGTATTGCAACTATCAACTTGCACATTGTGACAATACAAGTACTAAAAATTTATTAACGTATCAAGACCTTTTCTCCGTGAAACTTGATCATTAAGCGTGTTAAAATTAAAATAGAAGCAGATTTAAATATTAAACAACACAAAATTAGTATTTAAGCCTTTAACTTCTGGAATATCGCATTCCAGTTGTTTGGCTAATGAAGCTATATCGTTTTCAGATTACAGTCGGAACAAATGTAAAATAGAATTTTATGATATCTATTTGAATATTTATTCAAGTGTGAGTCGAAATTTATTTATATTTCAAACATCAATATTAAATTTCATAATATACACATTATTTAGTCAAATTTTATAAGCAAAAATTTAAAGGCTTATATCTGCACTCTGTCTATTTTTTTTACATTTATGTAGTTTTGTTTCTGCTAATAATCATTATTTTATTTATAAAATGTTCAAGAACGTAATGATAGACCAAAAGATTTTTATATAAAAAAAAATATTGAGTTAACATATACGTAGTATACCTACATATATAAGATAAGATAATGCGTCTATGTATATATATATATATATACATAGACGCATTATCTTATCTTAACTATGAAATATCGTTTTGGTCTTGGCAAAATCAAAATCTATTTTCACAATTTTCAGTTCTTATTCAGCCGTCTGTGCATTCTTATCTCAATCTTATAATCTATGATGTCTTGTTACATTTAAATTGTATCTCATATTACATGAACTCGGCGAACAGTTCGCTTACTTATAGAAACATCATGCTTATAACAAAGCTTGTGAAAGGAATTAAATAAATATTTAGCAATAAGATATAAAATAGGTACATTCTTTGCTTTTTGGTTTAGTTTCTACTCTTGTTCTTTTGTTATTGATTTGACACTCTCACATAAAATGAGAACATTGTGGAGGCGGTGTTATTTTTAAAATGTTTTCTCAGTAGGCTTAAGCCAAGGTCGTTTTCTTAATCATATAAGTATTTTGTATATGATCTTTCATGAACTAGATTACTACAGCCAAGGATCTGGTTGACTTTCCTTAAAAATATATTTTGAGGGAGAACCGGAGGAAATGGTTTAAATGTCATAAGTTAGCAGTAAATTTATTTAGTGTACATTAAACCCACGGCTTCCATTTACAGTTGAAACGTGTATTTGATAATATACTCGAGAAATATCACCCACATGTTTGATATTAGAATTCCTAGCATTTATTTACTTTTTAATACAAAGAAATAATTAATCATATCTTTGGATTTAAATTACTTACCTTATAATGTATAATAATAATAATAAAAGTGTAAAAGAAATTATAAGTGATTTGAACAAATTTTACAACTCATTAAATGACATTTAACGATTTTAATATCACGGTGTTGAAATTACATAATTTTGAAAAACAGCTGCTGAAGCTATATTCCTAACCTAACCTAGCCAAATACGGCTTAAAGTCCCAATAAGGAAACTGCCTTTTAAATAAAAACACCTCATCAAAATCGGTCAACCCATTTGGTAACTTGGAGCTATGACATACACGCACGCACACAAACGCACCCAGACACACGCACACACATGCACGTACGCACACAAAACTATATGGACGGACTCGATAAGCACCCCTCTTTTTGTGTCGAGGGTTAAAAGTTTATTCACCAACCAAAATAGGAAATTTAATGACACTTTGGAACAATAAAATTTTTATATACATATTTTAGAATATTCATGGACGTAAATTATTTTGATATTATTTTATCTCTGCTTAAATTAAATAAGTTAAAAACATACCAACCATAAACGTTGCAAAGTTTATAATAATTATTTTTATAATGTTACTCTGCACTTTAATTACAGATATTGTTGGTTATTTAATATTTCATTATCAATAACTTAAAATAACAGTCACTAATCAGTAATAAAGGATGACAAAATTACGAACAAACTAAATGTAAACATTCAAATGTTTTATAATACTTTTCATATTATAACAGAAAAGAAATTCTAAAAGTGAAGATGTAAATAATGTGTTCGTGTTACCAAACAGGGATTGTTAAAGGTCACGTCCCGTCGTTTACATCACCTTTGATATAACCTTTTATGTCTCCTTAACATTAGTGCTTCTTCAAAAAGCAACAGCATCGTTTAGTGTTTACAATGCATGTTAAAATGTATATTTTACGTAGTAGATAACAGCGAATTTTACATACATAAAGATGAAAACTGCTGCTAGTTATGCTACCATTATAAAGTTATTTATACTTTTAGATGCATACTCTCTAAGAAAATCCTTTATTATAACTTTAAAACAATGAGTAATATAGCTGTGCATTTTTTTATAAAAGGCCTTAAAGTGTTCAGTTTTTTCAATAATCCTTGTTATCATAAATCATCATGACTATATGGCTTGTATTTATGTGGACTATTCTAATAATAAATCTATTTTTTATCTTTTAGTTTTCGGAAACTAAAGTCAAATTTATATATTTTATCTGATTATTAGCTGATTGTAGTAGGATATTTAATCTATAAAGTTACTTTCCACTCAATTGATTGACTTTAGTCAGACAGCTAATATCAAATACTTTATAACAAATTATAAATTTTACCAGTATATATGTTTTTGATATTTTAACATTACCTTTAAAATGTTATTTTATATATTTAGCTGCAGATGATTCAAAAGTAATTTTTAAATTATGTTTTTTAAATCGTCTCATGAATTAAATTTGCGATTATAGCTAAGACATCACACTAAGAAGTAGAAAACCTTCTAGTTCAAAGTTTTTTGTAGTTGACAAGATGTCACCACCATTTGAGTCTTGATAGTAATATATGTAATATTGTAGTGTCGTTTCTTTCACAAATCTAGAAAAGGTCATCTAGAGGACCATTGAAGTTGACAGAAGTATTTCCATTGCTATCGATCTAAAAGTACCTCGGTCTTGCATTCAATAGCCATCTTTTCAGAACATTTTGTGCCACCTAAAGCTAAAGGTATAATAGAACAGTTAATACGGGCCCAGTTAACGATAATTCCTATTCCAATGAATCACAATCCATAGAGTGCGGTGACAGCTAGAATCATTATTTATGGCATGTTATCCTTTGAAACCATGAGCATCTACTCTACGGATTGCTCGCTTAAAAATTAAATGCGATTGTGTTGATAAATAAACTCATTGTAACTTCTAATTCATCAATGTCAATGTTTACTGTAAATTGCATTGTTAACTGTTTTTACATATAAATAAATAAAATAAATCATAAATTAAGATGCTCTATTTTACTGTTAATGCTATGTAAGAGTATCCCATGTGTAACTACTCATTCTGCATCTCTAAACTCATTGCATGGATATTATACATAGAATTTTTGTTTTATCAAATAAATACTTCTATATATCAATATATCAAGCCTCGGGATCAAATGGAAGTCACAGCTAAAGCAAATAAATGTAGGACATTCTAAGTAAGCGGTTATACTCATCTGAACTGGTATTCAGAAGCAAACAAGAACTGACCATCAAAACCTCTGAAGCACTGTCTATATAGAGGGACTTTCTGAAATATTTCGATCTGTCAGGCTTGAGGATATAATTCTTATGTTTAAAATATTAACATACTAGTTACTCTACGGTTGTCTTAAGAATACGAAACTGCACTTAATTGAAGTTCCTTGCTTGATCTTCTTAAATTGAGCAGTTACACTGTACAGCAGTAAGCAAAAATACACTGAAGTAGTTTTCTACTTCTTTTCTTCTTTTTTCTATTTTTGCTTCTTACACACAATAAAACTACGAGGAGACATACTGGTTATACCGTTGCTGTATTCATGTTTTCACAATTAAAGTTGAGCTAACAATAAATTAAAATGATACTCTGGTCTCATGAAAATAATTCTCTAGGATATTCATTAGTTATTGGGGTTATTAACACTAAGTTGTAGCAGAATAATGTAAAAATAAGTAAATATGTTATAGTAATAAAAAAATAATATTCATTCACAAAATAATATTTAAATACAAATTAAGTTAATCTCTGATAACCACTGGTTAGTGATATAATTGGTTAAATACGAAAATAAAGCTAAGAAAATCATGCAAACGATGGATCACAAAATTTTTATGATGATTTAAAAAAAATGGTGATCAAAATTCAAAAGTTGTATGCTTTTACAAAAAATAAATTTTCCAAATATTTTCATTCATATGAGTTTCGAACAAAATTTAAAGTAATGTCAAATATGCAACCAGCATGTGTTTTGCGGGTAACATTCTTTGACAACATAAATCGTTCTAGACTCAAAATAAAATTTGCTGTTATATCTTATATTTCCTTGTTAAATTAAACTTGTTTTATATTAAATTACAGCAAGGAACTAAACATCAATCGCATTATTATACAGTACCAACTAAGAAGACGACTACATTGAGTTAATTAACACAAAAAATACTTTTATTTATGATTATTTAAAATTTTATGTATAATTTAAAAAACATATAATAACAGATATTTTTTTAGTTAGTTCTAAAAAAAATTCCAAGATGTGTGCGAATTTAAGAACTAAAGAAGTCACCTATACTCAATTATATTATACTGATAGGTGATATATATATTTAAATATTTCATGATATGAAATAATGATATCGTTAATATCAAGTGGAAATATCCTTCACTAAAATACAAAAGTAAGACGGCAAACTGAATATGTTTCAAAGTGCTTTGAGAACGAGAATACAAATAAGACATTTCGAACTACAATGAAATTCCATTACATTTCAATGCGCAAAATAGAATGTAGACAGAAAACTATTTATAACATATTGTGAACTTGAGATATATAGAAAATATTTAAGCGACATAATCCTTTGCATTTTATAAATCCATATTTCAAAAGAATGGACATATTTACGAATTTTTGCTACCCTTGCAAATTGTACTTAGAGGCATACTATTAAACATGAAAAAAAAAACTTTCATACAGCATAATGAAATGAAATAACAGATTAAATAACATTTATTAAAGCCAGATAACATAAGACACAAAAAAAATCTAAGAATTTCAATATTTATTTAAAATAAACAAAAACCATTCACATTATGACATAATCTTAAGACACCTACTACGAATATTATAATTAAATGTTAGAGAATGATAATAAAACGATCTTTTAGAAAATTCCCCACCTAAAGATAAATTGTCCTTTGGGGCTTAAATTCCATGTTCTGAAATTAACTCCTTGTTATTTTGAGATTTACAACTTTAATTGAATTTTGTCACAGGAAAGGTGTCGGTATTCTCTGACGCTATTTCAAATTCCTTTTACATCTAACGTATTTATTCGACATGGTTCTTAAAATCCATGTATTATGTTTTATTTACATAATATAACTTGTAATTAAATTGGGTACTAAATTGGGTTATATAATTGGGTAGATAATTATAATGATATACATATATCTCCACTACAAATAAAATAAATGAAATATATTTTACTTTAAATAAGGTTGTAACGCACTTAAATTAAAAAAAAAAATTAAATGATTTAACTATGTATTTCAGTATAAGTATAAAATTTAAATGGCAAAATAAAGGTACTCATATTAAGCTATTTTAAAATATATGATCACAATCTATGTCATCAAGTAATGTAATTTACTTTGTCTTTCCATGACAGTACATCTCAAGAAAAGCTTATGTACCTATATATAAATATTATAGTGTAAAAAAAATTTGAAATACAAAATATCCGTTTGTTTTGCGCTTTTTCGTAAAGGCCAGTTTCTTAAAAGCCTTCTTATTATTATTAATTTATTTTTCACTTTTTGGTTATCGTTTTTATTCTTAGCAGGCCCTTTCCTTTTCTCTCTATATTATTCTAGTTTATGAAAAAGGACTCATGTCATCTTGACTATGCCGCCATGTTGGATTAAGCATGACATAAAGTTAAATAAGTAGTTTCATATGAACTGAACTTGTATCTACAATTTCAGCTAAGATTTTGTTTGAAAAGTAAATGCAAGCGTAAATTTATCCTTGCAAGTTAGTAAGAGCTCGTAAAAAATTGGTTTATTAAATAAGAATATTATCATGATGACACTTAATTTTTTTTTAATTCTGTACATTTTTTAATATTGCTAGGATGCTAAGACATATTATGTGTATTTTTTCTCTTTGTTTGGTTCATTTTCTTCATACCAAAAAGAAGAGGAAAATCATAAACACCAGGGTTTAGCCAATTCACTCATCATTTTAATTCGTTTACTAGGTAATCTCTTTGTTTCAGCTACTAACGATGACCCCAACATCGATAACCCTAGAGAAGATGGATTTTCCAGCTTCCGGTCCCTACGCCTGCGAAATTGCATTGGAAATACCGCTGTATTCAAAAGCCTCGAAAATACACGAAGTGAGCGTGATTGGTAAGAAGGACCCACCTTAAATCAAAGTAATTTTGCACGTAACGTTTTATTAGGTAGGGTACAGCTGTCTTTCTTATTGAAATGGATCATAATAATAAAATTATTTTGATAAATTGAACTTATTATAACAAACAACAAGTCGAAAAAGTGTTATTATTAATCAATCTTTCCATAAAACGTAAAGTTAAATGACGGGTAAAAATTTGCTTAACCTTTTTACCCATATGAATACATCGTGTGTCCGGAGATTATATGGGTATCTGTACAAAATAATTCAAGTTTATCTTCGTAATTACGGAACCGCTTCACAGGTTTAATCCTTCTAAGCAATCGAGTTACCATGAGATTCCCACAAAATGATATTATCCTTATTTTAATACTTTTTTTAAGGTTTTTTATACAGATGTTAATTTAATATCTGTAGGAAATATTTACAGTGAAAATTATACTCAATGCATCACCATACAACAGTAAGCAGATTTTTATAAAAGCTGAGTAAAATTGAAGAAATGACGTCTATCTAAGTTTGAAAACCATAAGTTTTTCTTACATATCTTCCTGCAACCTCAAAGGTGATACTAGATTGGTTGGTTTAATTATGTTATGTAAATATACATAGTTGGTTAAATTGCATCAAGTGAACCGGTGACTAATTTTGAGTGGGTACTAACAAATTCAAACTGCAGTGCTTTCGCCGCAACTGTTTTGAATCCTGGGTAATAGATAATAATGTTGGATGTTGTGAAAAGTTCGAAAAATAAGAACCACAATCCGTAGTTTTTTTTTAGTATGAAGTCGGTTGAATATTCATAATGATCAATTGCATTTCACGAAAAATACCCAATACTTTGACCTGGGTGGAAAGCTGATATGGAGGGCTTTTCAAGAGAGTAGAAAATTTAAGATTTCACGTTTTCTTTGTCACTAATATAAAGAAGCACCAGCATATTAATATAATAATAATATTATTTAAAATATTTCGTTTAAAATGAAAATCAAAAAACTTAAGTAGGTACAAAAATTTTATGTAGGTATATCGGTCGAGACAGAAAAACACTGTGACAGTATCAAAAGTTACAATTTATTAACATTTTTATTGATTTAAGAAAAATAACTTTTATTAGAAAATATCTTTTTTCTAACTATTAAATAGCGTTTTAATTTTTTTTACGTTAACAGCATTTAAAATAGATAGACAATTTTACAGCGGCTTACCAGGAGAAACTGTTTATAAAAAATATCACAATAAATTGAGAAATAACGGTAAGACAAAATGCCTATGATTTGTTGAACAACTTGCAATCTTACAAGAGTCTTAGTAGTAATTGTGACAACTAGGGCATTAATGAAATAAATTAAGTATATGGGTTCATAGAAGTCTTGATCAGCATCTTGTATTTTTTATGCAAATTATTAAATCGGTATATAACAAACTTTACCAGAAAAATAACCATTTTCCGTACGATAACACCTTATTTTTTTATAATATTTAGGTATATGGTCATTTGGAGCAACAATAAGTGAACGTTTTTGAGTGGTAAACGCAAAACCTGAGTCTTTCGCTTTTAACGCGATCAGGTACGCCATAATTTAGTCAGCAATGTATCCAGAGACCTATCTCTATATTGGTTATAAATATCTTTCTAGTAAGTTATACTCTTAGTCTATTCTTTTTTGGGTGCTCGTTTGTGAATGTTTTTGCTATTTAATATGTTGCTACGCAGACTCAACAGCTTAGGTGATATTGATCGTTAGGGCATGTCAGTGTTATTAGTCTGGTGTGAAGCGAAACCCATTGACGCCGACCTTTGTGCAACGATTCAAAAGGACGTAAGCTAACAACCTGATTATTTTTTCAGGTATGAAAGTAACATCAATAAAAATGGTCTTTGAAATGATATGAATTCTCCACATAGCAATCCATTTCAGTTGGAGAATTATTGGTTTTCTATTTCAAAAAATAACTTGTTTTGGCTGTCTCACTAAAAATTTATTATGAATTCAAATGTCTGGTTTTTATACGTCTGCTACTTTTTATATATTTAGATATATAAAAATATTGTATATTAAAATCCTTTATTTAAAATTCTAAAAAAATTAACAATCAATAAGTTACATAAGAGAGTAGTACTATAGTAATATAAGAAAAGCACGATCATCGGGTAATCGAAATCAAACATTTAAAAAAAATATGGAGAAATTTAAAATTTACGTCATAAATTTTATCATACCGTCTCAAGTATAATATTTATTTCAAAATCTAAAGACACTTCAACGGAACCGCTGGATCTGCATAACCAATAGGATGCTATAAAATATAATATGATTCTCTTCTTTACATAGCAAGAAATATAAAAAGAACTCTGAATAACAAATATTATTATATACAGTAAAATATAATTTTATGAAATGTTTCTTACTGATTAAATTGAAAACGAGAACATTATAAGAAAATTTATAGAATATCGTTATTATGTGGTTGAATGGTTAAATATTTTGTAGACTTCTAAAGAAACTGAATTGCATCCAGTTTGAAAGAATGGTAACCAAATCTATGTCATTAACAAAAGGTCCCATTAGATGCTAAGGTTCTAAAGGTTGTTAAGAAGTTATAATGTATAAACAACAGAATAATAAACCATCCAAGTGACGCAATTTATACTACCCGGGGCATCGAATGTGGTGTAAAAATAGTGTTTTGTTTTATCTTCACAGGAAAAGAAAGTCACTTCTTTATTTTTGGATCACAATAAGACTTTTGAAACTCTCTTTTTTTCACTCCTATTACTGGAACTTGTATGTCTCAAAAGAATAGAGTTATAAATTATATAAAGCAAAAGTAGAGGAATTGGTGTTCATTCTTTTCTAAAATGACCTCAAAATTATCCCACTAAAAAAACAACTATATCACACTCTTTTATTAACAAGAACTTTATGTCTACAATAGGTAAAAAAATTGTCTTCACGTCGTTGTGAAGAGCGTTTACTGTCTATGTCTCATCTGCTGCTACATTTTTTAATACTTGGTGTCGAGTTCTTTGTACATTTTCGTTTGTTTTGATTCAGAGAGTGCATAAAAAGTTTTATTTTATCGTTATAATGTGTACGTGTGTATAATTATATTTATAATAATTTTATTTCAATTTAGTCATGGTGATCGTATTATTTATTTTCGTTGTTTAACGAAGATTTTTAATATTCGATATCAAAATTCTTCGACATAGCCCAAATACCCATACCTATTACCGCACTTTTATACTATTTTATATAGATATGTCAAAATAAGAATAGAAAATGTATTTTTATATTGTACATATAATAAATTTTGTTTACAGTACGACAGAAATATCGGCCAAAAATAAAAATCAAACACAAAAAGCTATCCTCCAGTAACGATCTAGAAGCCACATGTCAAAGCGGACCCGCTTACCCCGCGCCCCACCTTACCTGGCTCATAAATAATGTTAAGGTAAGAAATCTCTTTAAGGTCAATTTAAATTCGTTCCTTGCGAAAACCAACAGAGAGCAGTTTTAGAACGTACCAATATATTATACGACTCCGTAAGTTACGAGTGTGCTTCGTTAAAATCATTTCATTCGTAGTATTCTGTATTTCATGAAAATTATCTAGTATGAATAAGTAGGTTATGAATGAAGTAAATGAATTCATACTGAAGATTGAATTATATGAAATTGAAATGCTGAAATATCATATTGTTTTAAATCTAGCTTGTTTTTTAATAATGTTTAGAATGGAAATAAAATGGATTTTTTGTATCTTGAAAGAGAATTCATAATTAAAAATAAATAATTGTTACACAATATTGGAATATAATTTCTGTTTTTATTAGTTCACCGTACAGTTTAGTGCATTATTAAATAGATTTGGTGTAAAACCACGTTTAATATTAATTGCTATGCTCAATAAACAACAAAACCGCATTTGTTCCAACAGCTTCTATTTTAAACAAATTCAATCCGAGTGTTATCATTTCCCTTTAAAGTATTAGTGTTCTGTGTATCGACTCATAAGCTAAATTCTCTTTTACTTTATATTACAGTTAATATAATTTTTGTACATAGTAATTTAAACTTGGATATGGTGAATTAAATTTGTATATTTATATTTTATAATAAAAATATTATGAATATATAAAAAGTAATGCCTCTAAATTTTACCTCCATTGCTATTTACCTATTTATTTTTAGTTACCAATTGCGTAAGTCTCATTAAAAATTGAAATTCATAGAAGTTTAAAACTTCACTATAATTAAAAATGAAAACAAAAAAAATGTTTGTCTGCTATCAATATTAACACAGTCTCTTCCGAGTTTATAATAATCAATCGCATCTAAGCGTATTATAAGCAAGGTTGGTTGGTATTAATTTTTAATATCCCAAAATCCCGGGTAGATTTAATCCGTTGGATAACGAATTTAAAAAATGCTACGACTAAAAAGTGTTGCAAATGATAATTTGGACAACAATATGATAACTTTAAGGATTTTTTAAATGAAAAGTCTGAAGTAAATTTAAAGCTTCAACTGTTTTCAGCCTTTATATTTCAGATATTAAGTCAAAAAATAACTTGTAATAATATTTTGTTTTACCTTAATAACAAGTCTTTGTCCTTATAAATATACAAATATTCTCGTTTTCAATAGGTCGATGAAAGGTTGACTATCCCTCATGGTACGGTCAACGTACATCGCCACCATCACGGAATGCCCTTATCTGTGACAAATTCTTCACTCCGGTTTCCATTAACAAGTCTGCAGCTTCATCCGAACCAAACTGTTGATATCACCTGCCTGAGTACTATACCTAGCTATCCTAGTACAGGCGAGGGTTTTGCAGATGTTCAAAATCACACTGTAACAGGTACGCTACATACATAACCTACTGTTAAAATTATACGTATACTAGAAGACCCGGCAAACTTCGTATCGCCCTAAAATCAAGAAATATCTGTTACGTTTTTTTATTTATATTTTTGGAGTTTCCCTTTTAAAGCCATAAATTCCCGTGTTTTGAAGTGCGACAGAATAATTGACATATTAGTTAGTTGTCAAATCTAATGTCAAAAAAACGTTTGTTTCAACAAGTACTAATAAATTAAAAAACAATTAAAAAAATATTGTCCAGTGGACAAAATTGTGAATCTAAACCATTCCCAGATCCTCTTGAATACACACAAAAAAATTCATCAAAATCGGTCCAGTCGTTTGAGAGAAGTTCAGTGACATACACACTCACAGAAGAATTATATATATAAAGATATACTGTTTAAACTATACTTATTTTCAGTAAACGTTATTCGCATGGAACCTGCACCCGTGCCAACACAATTGCCGGTGAAAATAATAAGTGCTGAACAAAATCGATCCACTTACTTGAAGATTAGTAATTATTGGGTTGGTATACTTTTATTCCATACTATTTTGAACATTGTAGCAAATACGAGAGACTAGAGTACATATTGAGTTTTCCGACGCTTTTGATGTTCGATCAAGTTTAAGAGTAAATGTTAGTGTTAAAATTAATATAAATATGTTTGATATCATTGAATTATTTTCCAAATAACATTTCTAAATGCGATTGAGAAAAATGTTTAATTGAAAAATAAAAATATTTTGGAAGACAAAATATTATCAGAACTAAAATTATGTATCCGGTACAAGAATTGCTAAAGAATAAGTTTATAACATGAAACTCTGTACAGAATTCATATTGAGTATGATAATTTATACGAAAACTTTGAAACAATTTGGATAAAGTGATGTAATAATTTTGTATGAATTAATTTTAACAGGTTCAGAATTCTTCTCATAAATTACAATTTTGTTAATGTTGGATACGATGACATAATTATCAATCTTAATTATTATCCTCATTCAGTATAATTGGATTTTTGGATAGAATTGTACAGACAACAAAGTTTTATACTTACCATCTTATACCTCTTAGAAATTTTTGTTCAGTTTAAAATATACAAATTAACGAGAAAATAAACATCAGATAGATATCAAACATATAGCGAATGTGAAAAAATGTGTTAAACTACATATATATGTGTATAATAGAACTTGTAAGATACGTGTCTATAGTCTTTCATTAAATAATGACTTGTGTTTACTCTTCGCTGTAAATATGTATTTTCATATTGAAAAAAAAAGCCTCTACCTTTACAATTTGAACTTGTTTGATCAAGTAAAACATAAATCGACGTAGTTTTGATTTAATTTGAATTTGATGCCGAAAAAATATTTTGAAATAGCAGAATGAAATTATAATATTATCTTAAAATTAGAATAGTAATCACAAGTCAATTTAGATTCTGTTTTCGGATTCGAAACAGTTATTATATGGTAGTGTTACGGTTTTTTACTCCTAATTTTTACATCCTAATGCGAGCGCTTCTTCTACCTTTGTATATTCACCCTTTATTGTGTACGCAAATATGAGACTGACTTGACTGTTGTCTGTAACTAAAGAAATGTATCTCCATCGCCATTCTTTGAAATACCTGTTAGAAATATATGAGACAGTGGGTCTACTGATAAATGAATAATCGGATTTCTAATGCTTGTTTATTATGAAGTAAAAATAATATGTTTGCTTCATATCTTATTAGTTTATTTTTTATTAGTGTTTAATAATAAAAGTAAATTAAAAGTCATCATAATTGTTTAGGAATAAAATATGGTATGCTTAGAATTCGACCTTCTTATAGTTCGGTTAATTGGAGCAGAAAAATATGGCGATAACAAAACATATCATGGAGATGAGTGAGTTTATATAAATATATAATTGTTGTGTGAGGCTTTAAGCTATGTGGTTCCAGGGTGGTCCAGGAGTGTGCAAGTTTTTAGTAAGTAGTACATATGCTTGGTTTGAAAAGCTATACCTTTGTTTCACGCAGTTATAAGAAAATGAAATATTAATTTGCATTTCGAGATGTCTTCAAAAATATCCCTTTGGAGTGTGATAGACCTTTAAGGATTTACAATAATCCAGGAAAACAGTAAAATGTCACTTTTGAGGAGACTCTTCAAGACGACACAATTTTCTTTAGAAGAAACATGTCGTCTCTATGTTTTTATTTCTTTATTTATTTTTTGTCTTAGAGGACGTAGTATAGCGCATCAAATCAATATTTTGATTGAATTTTCATATCATATATTATTGTAATTATTTAGGAAACATTGTGTACAACATTAAAGTTACGATATTTTCTATATTGTGAAATAATTCATGCAGGCTATCGATGTCTTCCTTATTGCTATACTCTTTTATATAAGTAATGGTCTTATAAACGAGTGCATAAATAAATATATTGACCTTGTCTCGCATATGATTTTTTGTGAATGCGAGAAAAGGACAAAACGAAACATAAGTTAGATTATATTATAAATGGTTGTTAACTAATGTGAATTGCTAAATGTAATAATTTACGAAAGCTTTTCTTGCATTGGCTCGTTGACGAAAAATATTTGAAATAAATACACTAAAAATATTGCATTAGTTAACTCGCAATTAAATTTGCTGAGAGAACATTTTTAAAAGGTCGTATTATTTATTATTAACATTAAAAATTATGTTTCGTTAGTGATTTATTAAAAAACACCAATATTTTCAAAATTGCCATAGTTTATATATATAGAAATTGATAGACCTAATTATGAATTATTATATTTTCATTATTACAATATTCAGATTATTTTGAACTGTGTAAGAGTTTAATTTTTTTTTTATGTCAAAAAAGTAAACATATTTAGTTTAGAAACGTTGTTGTTATAAAATAAGGAAAATTATATGTGAACTATAATAAACTACGAAAATATAATGTGTCTGTAAAAAAATATATTATATCTAAATTTTCCCGGCTGACAGTAGTTGTTTAAATAAATAAATAAATGTTTTTAGCAATGTTTGAATGTACACAGCCGCAACTGAATTTCTATAAAAAATGTATGATATTTACAAAATGTGAAAAATTTATCTCTTTATAATATAAATGTATTACACGTTCAATTTACACGGAATGTTGTTTTATTTACTCTCATTTGTAAAATGTTTTATTTTGATTCTAAGATTACGTTCTTCGTTTAATTCTGCATATGAATATGCATATTGGAAACTATTAAATATGATAAGGCAAATTTGGTCCATTCTGGCAATATTAAACTGCCAGCATGTTTTTATTGAAAACGGCAGCCCTCTATCCTTTCCGGAAGAAGCCATACGATTCTATCTTCCTAATGTGAACAGCAAAAGGATTCCAATAGTTTGGCTGTGTCTGTGTTTCCTTAGAAATATAATTTGAATTTCATCAAGAAAAGCGAGAATAGGCTGTTACTGTGATACGGGGTTCAACACCTAGGACTTCATTTAAACCTGCCAACGAGTGAAATTACAGCGAAGCACTGCCAGTCGAAATTAAAATACAAACTTTAATAATTAACACAAAATCTAATTATTTAAAACATATCTTTATGTAGTCCCAACAACATCGTATTAATTTCAAAAAATAATATCAGGTTTAAATTTCATATCAGGTTTACAGGGAAAACAGTTGTCCTTTTTAATCAAGGCCCTTTGTTTTTCAATTTTAAATAAGATATATAATATAATAAAATAAGATAAGTGTTAATTAAATAAAGTACCTGAAATTAACAAAATATAGTATCAAATATCGTTATGCAACAATTTCCCTTATTAATCAAAGTTCACTATATTACAAGATTTTTTTTATATTTTAAATTGAGTTTTTAAAACTTATGATAAGACAAGAACATACTTCAGAATAGCGCAGATACAGCAAAGTCATTTTATACTTTATAAGTATGTTCAACGATGTGGTAGTGTGGCATTCCAAATTATACATATGCTACTAAGTAACGGTTTTATAACACTTTGTTTTTTAAAAGAAATACAAAAAACAATTTTAAGATCAAACCTTTTTTGTTAATTCTATCTTTGTCTGACTCGTCCCCTCAGATTTGAAGTGATGTAAACAGTCGGATACCCACACTTTATAGGATAACCCGTGGATCAGAGAGGCGTTGCGGGGACAAATTGACCTCTTTGTTTCTAACCCACGCTCGCTGGAAATCTCATTACGTTCAGCCTTGTGCGTATAAATATATATAATCATAGGAAGTTGAAAAAAAGTTTGTTTAATATCATCATTACAATTAATTGTATCTGAAAGCTAAGTTAAAACTATAATTTACGATAGTATTATAAAGTTGCAACAAGAGTTACAATTTCTTTAATTCTAAGAATCTTCTTTGTCCCAGCCTTATTCTGCCCATCCCGGCCATCGTTTAACTAATCAACACTAATTTCTCCTGTATCATCTGGGACTACAAGCCGTCACTATAAAACAATAATACATACAGATGAAAAACTTTTTCTATTTATATCTTGTAAAATTCTACATATTTTTATAGACGGAAAGACTGCAACAGTGTATTTTAGATAGGAGATATTTAAGCTATGACAAGTGCTATGGCAAAATATGGCAATTTTTCAATAAATTGAGATTCGTTCCTTGCAAAAATCAATGAAACTTATGAAGACTATTCCCCTTAACAAGTTTTAACCTTCTTACGTACCTATAATTTAAATCAAATTTAAACTAAAGACATTATAGTCAGACGGATGAATGCTAAAATTATTGGAACTCAATTATTTCTTGTGATAAAAGATCAAAGTTATCGCTAACAATAAAAATGTTTCATCCTGAATGAGTGTAATATAATATAATAATAATAAAAATTCTGATTCTATTATTATAATATTGGTAATTAATGCTAATAGTTTATTCTGATTTTCTCCTGGTTTCGAAAACTGACTTACCTTATTTTTGGTCAGGGTAACCCGATTATCATATTTTATAATTATCTTATTTACCGTGAAATCAGAGTTATACTTTTTTCTGAAGAATTGAGTCCATTAACGAGACAGCTGGACCAGCTAACTTCAAATGTCTATCATCAGACCAAGAATGATTTAAAGCCTATCGCCTAATCGCCTATTAGTGTTATATTGTTAAGTTGAAAGATTTCAATGTCTAACAGAATAACTGCTTTTACTTTATATTGTAGCTCTTAGATATGTTTTATAAATTATGAGGTAATAAGAACAGACACCTAGTTTAAAAGGTAATATGCTAAGACCATCTGGCAGATTATCAAATTTTATTAGAGCTGGATACAGAAGCACTTGGAGTAATAGGATAGGCCTGCAATAATTAAGCAATTTTAAAGGTCTTCTTTGGTCTGTGTTTAAAAAATACTTGTTGCTTTGTAGAGTGCTACTTTTCTATCTCTCTACTTATTATATGTTAACTTTTTCCTATGCATTAAAATATATTTATGAATTTAATTTTAAGCTTTGTTAATTTAATCCTTATGTTCTATTGTATACTAGGTCTAGGTATGGACGACCTCAAAGGTCGGAATTT